TACGGCTCCCCCCACCTGACTTTCTAATACGGTCACCGCGCCCCACCTTGTTTGTTTACATTCTTCGTGAGCTCAGTAAGCACTAAGTCTCTCCATTTTGTACGGAAACTCCAAAATTTCAAATGTTTTTAAAAGTTATTTCATATTTTATATATACTCTGATAATTATACTTATTTATACCTGTACTTAATAACTTACATACTGTGCGGGCCCATGCAGGTACACATTAAAATCAGTAAGAGTGTCTTATGTCTCCAGACGTCATATTAGTAATGATAATAATAATCACCGAGTCCCATTAAATGTTATATATTACGTTAATATACACATTTTCATTAATCCATCCATGATATTTTTTTTCAAAATTATATAATAAACACGATACATAACATAAAAAGATGATAAATACACCCCACAATAGAATAAATAAACAAAAATGAGATGTGGTAGCAGACGACTTGCACAAGTGATGCCAAGAATAATATTTTCTCTAATCTAACATAAAGAAAAATGTGTTACTGGGGGTAACTGTAGAAAATTATTCCTTCGTATGTATGTAAGTAAGTTTATTCAGGTATACACAAATACGTTACATAGATTATCATACATAAACAACATATGTGTAGAGAACCTAGGATAACCCAAAAAAGTCAGAGTGACTTATTTCCATTGCCTTCACTCAGAGCATCATTTCTTCTCAAAATGATGTTACATGAGAATGGGAGTGTTCTTCTTTATTTATTCTACCGTATCAATGTAGAGACAACCTGTACACAATGTAACTTGTACACAAACCAGACGTGTACACTTCGTTTACAAAACTTACCTTCGCCTGGTTTGTTTACATAACTCTGCGCCTGTCCTCTCTCATGCACTCATTCTTTCTCTCTCTCATTTATTCGTTTTATCTCATTTACTTACTCCTGACCCTACATGAAGGGAGCGGTCAGGTGTATCATATCGACGTCTTTATTTTTCAACCGATTACGTTCATTTTTGGTGTACTATTAGAAGCTTATATTAAAGATCCTGTGCTGAAGTTTCAATCATATCGGCCAAAAAGTAAATGAAATATGCAAAATTTACGAAAAATTGCATTTGGCAGCGAAGTCCTACTCAGTGGTACTTGGAAAAGTGGTTTTGACACTTGCTGCTGATAGAACACCTCTAATTCCATCACTGTAAGTGTACCAATTCTAAAATAAACCTTATCTTCATGCTAAAAAAAAATAAGTTTCATAACTTTTTTTGTCATATTGGAAGATGTCAGTCTTGTTGCCCACATAAATCTAAAAATATTTGGGATAGTTCAGAAAGGTACACTCTACCTTGTAAAGCAATCATTTTCCTATGTTTGTTGTGAAAATCAAGTCAATTCAATCATAAATAAAGATAGGTTGGCCCTAAATAGGTAAATAAGTTACTTTTGAGATATAGGCCGAAGCGCGTGGCACCCCAGCTGCCCGGGAAATAATTTTTTTCCCCGAAAAATTCGCTTTATTTTAAACATTTTTTGCGGACCTACGAGTGTTTTTTTAAAATTTTAACCATTGTAAATTCGTTTTCTCTCATCACATGTACGTGAGAACGAACCTTCAGGGGATACACCGATAGAAATTTTTCCCTCTTGGGCATCAGATTTTTACGCAATATGACGCGTCAGCACTGTCACCATGCCTGTTATAAATGGCTGTAATTCCTTTTAGAAACATCGTACAAGGATAATAATTATATCAGAGTGTAGCCAGAAAGTTCAGCTATTTTTTGGTAACAACTCCATTTTCATATTTTTTCGTTTTTTTTTTTTTGCTCCGCGCGCGTGAACCTGACCGCTCCCGACTACAAATATTTTAACGTAAGTAATGAGTGAACTGTATATATATATTATCACTCTGGGATGCTTAAATGTAATAGAATATTATGTGTAGGTGGGTTGGCCTGGTATGGTAGCCCGGCTGACTACCATACATACCACACTTGATTTTTTACAATAAATACTACTCATCTCACCCTATATTTTAAGGTAAGTAATGAGTGAACTGTATATACATTTTATCGCTCTGGGATGCTTAAATATCATAGAATTGTATGTGTGGGTGGGGTGGTCTGGTATGGTAGCCTGGCTGACTACCATACATACCACACTTGATTTCTTACAATAAATACTACTTGTCTCACCCTAGATTAAGACTATAAATAATTTTAAGGTAAGTAATGAGTGCACTATGTGTGTATTGTACTTTCTTATTGTTTTTTGATGCCTGGTTCTATTGCTAACTTAATATATGTTAGTGTAAACTTGTTATCTAGTGTTTGTATGCATTTGTAAGTGGAAAAAAAGGGTGTTCCACTTTACGGCGGTAGCCTGGAACCTAACCAGCCGTATAATTGGGGCCCTCCTGTATATATATGATAGAAAAATAGTAATAAACAACATTTTTTATTGTTGGTTTGTGTAAACATGTTTGGTGGCCTGGTGGCTAACGCTCTCGCTTCACACGGCGAGGGCCTGGGTTCGATTCCCAGCCAGAGTAGAAACATTGGGCGTGTTTCTTTCCACCTGTTGTCTATGTTCCTCATCAGTAAAATGGGTAAATGGGTGTTAGTCGACTGGTGTGGGTCGCATCCTGGAACACTGACCTAATTTGCCCGAGATGCTCAGCATAACAAGTGGCTTTCTATGTAGTAGTATGTCATTGTTGTCAGCTAGGACTGTATACCATGTACATGTACTTGTAGTAAATAAAGATTATTATTATATAATGACAGCAAAGTTTGTGCTGTTATTGTGTTTACCTGGAGTTTACCTGGAGAGAGTTCCGGGGGTCAATGCCCCCGCAGCCCGGTCTGTGACCAGGCCTCCTGGTGGATCAGAGCCTGATCAACTAGGCTGTTGCTGCTGGCTGCACACAAACCAACGTACGAGCCACAGCCCGGCTGTGTAGTATACAATGAGTGAACATATACTAAATAGCCTTTATATTGGTCTCAGAGGCCATAAAAGTTAATTGAAAAAATAAAATATTAAAAAAGAAAAGAAAAAAGTAGAAAAAACTAAATAAACTATTACCGGGTGACCGGCAGTCAGCGATGTTGCTGTATGCAGTTCAATTTCTGTCACTTCACGCCTCCATATCTCTAAGTATTGATCGCCAAAAAAAAAATTTTGGGCCTATAATACTCGCAAAAAAAAACAACTATCATTTCCTAAGAAAAAAAAAAAAAAAATTTTGAATATTTTTCGACCCTGAGAACAAGTTTGGGAGAGGGCCTGTCGACCCTGAAAAGGTTAAAAAACTTTTAGTTATCAGTTACCAAATTTTCTCTGGAGGTCGCTTGATGCAGCTGGATCACTCACAACACCTGCCTATCATATAGAAACTACACTGGCCAGCTAAAATCTATATGAAAGACGATGATACTTAGCTGTGGGTGGTGATTTTTCCTTATCTTGAACTTTAGTCAAACTTTATTGACTTAAGTCTCATACATAATCACTGTCATTGCAGGCACTCAGATACAACAGTTTAGATCATCCCTCCAAACTGTCAATATTCCAAGCCCTTCCTTTAAAGTGCAGGCATTGTACTTCCCATTTCCAGGACTCAAGTCTGGTTATATTACTAACCAGTTTCCCTAAATCCCTTCACAAAATATTACCCTGCTCACACCCCAACAGCTCATCAGGTCCCAAAAACCATTCATCTCCATTCACTCCTATCTAACATGCTCACACATGATTGCTGGAAGTCCAAGCCCTCATCCAGAAAACCTCCTTTACCCCCTCCCTTTAACCTTTTCGAAGACAACCCCTACCCAACCTTCCTTTCCCTACAGATTTATACATTCTCCAAGACATTCTACTTTGGTCCATTCTCTCTAAATGACCAAACCACCTCAACAATCCCTCTTCAGCCCTCTGACTAATACTTTTAGTAACTCCACACCTCCTTCTAATTTCCACACTCCCAATTTTCTGCATAATATTTACACCACACATTGCCCTTAGACAGGACATCTCCACTGCCTCCAACCGCCTCCTCGCTGCTGCATTTACAACCCAAGCTTCACATCCATATAAGAGTGTTGGTACCAGTATAATTTCATACGTTCCCTTCCTTCCCTCCATGGATGACGTACATTTTTGCCTCCACATATACCTCAATGCACCACTCACCTTTTTTCCTTCGTCAATTCTATGGTAACCTCATCCTCCATAAACCTATCCGCTGACGAATGAACTTTCAAATATCTAAAAACATTCACTTCTTCTATACTCCTTCTCTCCACTGTGATATCCAGTTTTTCTTTATCTAAATAGTTTGATACCCTCATCACCTTACTCTTAGCTATGTTTACCTTCAACTTTCTACCTTTACATTAATAAAGTTGAGAAGTATTCTCCTGTTTGGTTTATGGCTCTCCACGCCCCCACTGTTAAACATTAGTCAGTGGTCATGCAGCAGTGACGTCCCCACATCCCCCGCCCTTCGATTTCATGGGGGTGACACCACAGATGCTGCCCTGGGTGACACCACAGATGCCGCCCTGGGTGACACCACAGATGCCGCCCCGGGTGACACCACAGATGCTGCCCCGGGTGACACCACAGATGCCGCCCCGGGTGACACCACAGATGCCGCCCCGGGTGACACCACAGATGCCGCCCCGGGTGACACCAACACTAGCAACACTACTGGCTTCTCCCACTGCTATAGCTCTGCCCACTTTGTAACCATGCCAAATGGTGAATTAAATATGTACAGTAGACAGTTATTTAGCAAGGTACTTACATTCCTGAAAACGATGTGTTAGGTACAATTATGTTAGATGAACTGAGTTACATTCCTGAGAGCCCCCAAATAAAAAACTTTTTTTTAGGCCAACACATGTTACAAAAATAAAGGTGAATATGTAATTGTAGTTCATTGTTGTGATGTATTATGTTGTTTTTACAGCTTAAGAATACAAATGTAAAAGAAATAATAGCATTTCTTAC